TTCTGACACTGACAAGTGTTGTCTGATCAGTCTGATTCCTTTGAACAACTGTTCTTCTCACAAGGATTTGGAGGGGTGGTGTTTGTTTTATTTTTGTTCTCGTTTTTGTCTGGTTTCCTACGGAATTAATTAGTATCCAGTGGCATCTGTTCTGTGACACTGTCCATCAAATCAGAAAACAGTCTACAAGGTGGAGGTACAGAGCATAAACCAGAAATGATCAGATGACAAGGGACAATAAGAATGGCTGCAAACAGGAATGAGGAGTTTCCAGAGTTTTGTTATGACACACAGGAAGTAAACAGAAGAGCAGATGTGAGAAGAAAGTCAGATGCAGTCTGCCACCTCAGATGCCATCTGCCAACTCAGAGACAGAAATTCTGTCATTAGAAGATGGATACTGTACATATAGAAGTAACATAGGCTTTTTGAAACATACTTTTTAGTATATTGGAAAATCGACCAATTTCTTGGTGCAAGTTTACTCTTCCTTCTTATTTAGTCCTTGCTGGTTTGATAATATTATAAACATATTGCAGTCGTGACTTCTTTTGTAGGCAATAGCCTGACAGCTCCAGCTCTGTTAGTATATCAAATAACCTTTAGAAAGGTCATGGTTTACTCTTCTTCTGGAAGAGATTCAATTAATGATTTAGAGATTAAAGTTTCTACAGCTCTTTGCATGTTTCTGGAGATACCTGTCAAGCACTGATAACTGTTACACCTTCATTTCTAAGGTATAAATAGAAGTTCCAGTTGTGGCATGCCTATTGACATTTGGTGGTACAAAGCATTTATGCTGCTCAAGTATTGATGTTTTAATCACATTTTAATATTACAGTTATGCAAAAAATATTCATTTCAGGTAGTAATGTTTCAGACCTACACCAATCAAAACAGTAAACCAATTGAAGCTAAATATGTCTTTCCTTTGGATGATAAAGCTGCTGTTTGTGGATTTGAAGCTTTTATCAATGGAAAACACATCATTGGAGAGGTAAAATGTTATTGTACTTTGCCTGTGATTAAGCTCCTTCAGTCTTAAGATCTGAAAGCACTTAATTAGTGATGAAGATGTGCAACACTAATTTTGCTTTCTCTCATGTCCTTTGTTGTTACCACGTGGCTGGATTTCAAGGTAGTCCTGTCATTTAAGAGAATATTGGTTACGCTTTCTGTCTATAGAGCTGAAAGGACTTATTTTGGAACAATCTTTCATAGGTTAAAGAAAAGAAACAAGCACATAGGGAATATCGGAAAGCTATCAGTCAGGGTGATGGAGCTTATCTAATGGACCAGGATGCACCGGTATGTCGCCTATCACGGTTTAGTACCTACTTGAAAATGAATTAAAGAATTATTGAAAGTTTGAATTTTTGTATCATAGTCCCATTTTTCCTTACTTTTCACCAAAACCAAATAGTAGCTTCTATGTTAGCATTTGGTTTCAATGTGCCTAAACATCAATTAAATTATTGTTTTGGAAAACATAGGGATTAATGATGTTATTAAAGCTAGTTTGTGGTTTTTGTTTTTTATTTAGGATATTTTTGTAATAAGTGTTGGAAACTTACCTCCAAATTCTACAGTTGTGATCAAAATCACCTATATCACTGAACTGAGTTTTCAGCATGGGTACATCACCTTTCATATGCCTGCTTCTGTGTCACCATGGCAACAGGACAAAGCATTAAATGAAAACACGCAGGTTTGTTAAAATAGAGTCTTGAAATAGCATCTTCTTGTCTTAAAGCAAAAGTTCTGTGCCCAAGGGATTGTAGTTACACAAGAGGCTTCAATAAGTTTATGACTGTTTTAATTTCTTCTCTTTTGTTAGAAGGTAATTGTTTGTAACTGTTCTTGTCATAAAGCAACGTGAACACCCACTTAGGAATGCTGTGATTGGTGGAAGCCTCTGACTGTCTCTGAGGATGGTTTTGCTCCTGCAGGACTTAGAAACCTGACTTGACACACATTAGATCTCATACTTTGTTATGTGCTGTTTCTGTGCTGCTGTTCCTCCTTTGGCTTGCAAAGACACTGTATTATCTCCATCATGAAACAGCAGCTGAGCATCTGCTGAACACTCTGCTATTCTCCTCCTCTGCTTCAGGGACAAGGTGGCACATCCATTTCTTTGGATGCCCTTGATGGCTCCTGAATTCTCCAAGTGGGAGAGGAGATCATCTCTGTGGGAAAGGAGATCATCTCTGTGTTTAGTCCTTGTGGTCCGTGGACAGTCCCTGTGAGATGGTATAGCTGTGTTGTACATTTCACTGCTCAACAGTCATGCCTCACGTTCAGAGCTGTATTATGCTGAGTCCTGAAGTTCACTGTGTCCCTGGGAGAGAAACATGCACATGTTCATCTGAGTGTTAGCTGCTGTGGTGCTCAGATTACAAAGCTCTATGGTTAAATGGAGTAAACAGGGTTCCATACAATCCCAATTTAGTGATATATTAAGAGAAAGGAGCTCCAGGGCAATAAGAGTGTCAAGAATGACATTTGAGTATTTCATAACTGGTGCAGGTGAATTCTTTTTTTTTTTTCTTTGCAGGATACAGTAAAAAAGGTTTGTGTTAAACAAGTAAAACTACAGAAAAAGTAAGTGGATTTCATTAATACTGTTATCTGCTTTATTTTATCAATAACTTAAATGATTAAGTTAAAACATTTAAATTTAACATGTTTCTATTTGTATGGAATATTTGATGATAAGTTACATTATCAAGAAACTTGTTTAATTTCACCTTTCACTCTAATCTGTTCTTATCCTTAGATAGGTAATATCATAGTAGAATAACTTTTAATTATCACACTTTTTTCTCACTAAATACTTCCTTTTGTTTCAGAAACATTTCTGTTATTGAGGATTATATATGAATTCCCAAGTCACAAAACTTTATGAGGCCATCATCTTAAATATCGTTTTCAATTTCACTGCACTTAACATTTTAGCCTTTCTTTGCATTTTCATTTTAAATAAAAAAAAATTACAATTATGTGAAACTGTGAGGTTGCTGCTAAAGTCAGACTTCTTGGAAACTGAGTATTAGAATCTTATTCTCAGTAACATTTCTGTATACGGTTCTCAATGA